AAGGCTGCCATGTGGGGTCAGTAGGTGGGATAGCAGGTAAGGCACTAGATTCCCACCTGGCTGACTCTAGTTTGAGGCCCAGGCCTGGCAGCTTGAAATTCACATTGGGCATATGTGTGCGTACCTAAAACCCCAAGATGAGAACATAGGAGAAAGGATTGTGGTGTGACCATCCCCCCTGGGGGGGTATTTCTTGTTTTCTGTCTCCCTGTCTCTCTCTGTCTCTCCCTATCTCTCCAGTGAGTGCACATGCCCTATAGCAAAAGACTCTTAAAATCAAAACAAAAACTTGCCTGGGTGTGAGCCTAGCATGCAGAGGGCACCTCTGCTCCGAGGCTGAGCCCCTGGGGACCTGAGGCCAGCTCACCCCCCGGGAACTCCCAGTGGTAGAGTGGCTACAGTCCTGGAGGCTGAGGCCATGGGCCACAGGGAGAGCCAGGCAAAAATGCCTGCCTCTGTCTCCAGTGACACTGGCCATGGCTCTAAGTTATTGAAATGTAACCCAAACAGCAACTCGGTGTGAGGCACAGACATGCTCTGTGAGGGCGGGCCGTCCCAGTAACGCTGTCGCAGCAGAGGACCCACCACCGGGGGCAGACAGGCGCTTCGCAAACTGCAGTGTCACTGTCTCTCCCCACAGGCCCCCAGGGTCAAGAGACAGAGCACCCTCCCTCCCAACGGCCCCCGACAGCCCTCCCCCAGACAGCTGGACGACGGGACGGCCACGGTGGGCAGGTCCTGGACCTGGCTCTCCATCCCCTGTCCAGCGCTATCTCCACTGTGTCAATTTACACCATGTTTCTTCTTTCTGATGTGGTGTAGCAAGGGAGAGTCACAAATGCATTTTTAATTCATCAAAAATACATTTTATCAATGTGTCCTTGCAAGAAAATAGCATTTTATTGCATATGACAACTTGAACTGACCAGGCACGGCTTAGTTCGCTGTAATGACACGCACAGAACTGTCATGTGTTACAAGTTGCTTGCCCGAGCAGATTCATGTTTTCCTACAGAGTTACGGGAAATCTCTGTGTGGAGCTTTGAGCACACTGGGGCAGGTCTCAGGCTGCAGGAATGGCCACAGGGCGGAGACAGCAACATCTATGGCCCAGGAGTGAGTCCACGTGGCCACCGGCCACCGCAGCTGGGTGGCTGGGAACTCCAGAGCTGTCCTTCCTGCCCTTTGGGGACTGCATTCCAGTGGAGCTCTGCTGCCCCTGCAGGCCTGGCCGCGACGTGGTAGCAGGTAAGGGAAAGCACTTGAGGTGACAAAGAAGGCACCTTCCCAAAGAAAACAAAGGCTCCTTTGGTGAGCTTGTCAGAGATTTAAGCCTGATTGAACAATGAGTACGCCCCAAAGTTTTTCTTTCTACATTTAAAGAAGTAGTAGTCAATTGTTTAAAAAAAAAAAAGAAAAAAGAAAAAAAAAAAAGAATATGTTTTGCCATAGGGCAGGAGCACTTGCCAGAGACAGAGAGATGGTGAGAGTGAAAGTGAGAAATCACCCCCGGGGGCTGGAGTGGTGGCCAGCACAATCCCTTCTCCTCCATTCTCCCCCTGGGACTTGGGGCCCATACACACAATCAGCCAGCATGATTTTCAAGCCACCAGGTCCAGGACTTGAGCCACCATCACTAATGTGGGAGTCCAGCACCTTAACCATGATGCCGCCTGCTGGCCCCCATTGTAAAATTAAAAATGTGTACATGTCTCTTCAATTTGAACTGATAAACTGTTACCTATTTTAACTAAAATTTATTGAAGGTTTATTTACTTCTTCCATGAGCAAGAAAGACCCAGAGTGAATCAGAGACAGAGAGGCAGAGAGATCTCCCTGCAGGGCTTGGCCACCGTGGTCTGTCCAGCCTTGGCCAGCCCAGGGTCATGCATACATGTGTGTTCCGTGTACCGGGCGAGGAGGTCCCTTCCCGGAACCTAGGGCTTTTCCTTGCAGGGCAGCCTCAGTTTTGCATCCTTCTGCAGCACAACCAGCTCCAAACCTGTGACCTTTCCATAACATGGATTCTCTTCGGCCGTACTCACTGGGTTTGCTCCAAGGTCCAGAAAACTCACTGGTCTTTGCTGTCGACCCCTCAGCTTTAGGAAGGTGCCGCCCCTGCCGTAGCTCTTACAATGCCCGTTACTGAGCACTTGCGAGTCTGCACGGCTGTGGTTTCCTCTTGCGTTCCTGGACAGCGAGCCCTGGCCCCACATCCTCTGACCTCTGCTCTTCATTAGGTCTACCAATGGCCCGAGAGCCACTGCCATCATGCCCACCTTCACAGAAGAAGAGCCAGGACACAGAAAGTTTAAGTGGCCTCGCCAAGACCGCAGGGTCATTATGGACTGTCTGAAAACTCACTAGGCTGCCCAACTTAGAAAGAAGAGCCCTCACACTAATGCCAGGAGAGAACAGTCATAAATCTTGTACTCACAGGAACTTCAAACCAGGTCTGCCCTCGGGGCCTCTGCGGTATGCTCCACCATGCCATATTCCCACCCTGCCCAGGTAGAGCAGCTGTACACGTTTCCTACAGTTTCGGAGCGCGATACGTGGGCGGTTCCCAGGTGCACAGACGGCCACGGGGCGGAATCTGTGACTCTGGCAGATCTGGATGAGAGCCCACCCCCCCCCAGGGGCGGCGGCATGGCTGGGGGTGAGGGGAGGTGGGAGTCGACCTTCTGTGAGCTCGGAGGAGACATTTCCAAGTGGGAAGGGCGGATGAGCAGCCCTCTACAGCACTTGGGGCAGACGCGGAGCACACAGTCTCCACATGCAGAGACACACCATGAACCCCGGACCGCTGCCACAGGGAGACGTGTGACAAACATGACAAACACGTCGGACTTGGGATCGGCAGCTCCCTGCAGCTTTCCCATCTTCCCGACTCCGGCGCCATACGAGGCTGAGGGCGATACAGCAGCAAATGAGCACCTGGGAGGTTATGAGCCCGTGCCTGGAGACCTCCCAGTACGAGGGACATGCATGTGCTCATGGGTGCTATCTCTCCCTTTCATTCATGGCAGGGATCAGGAACTTGTATAAAAACCTGAAATCATAACTATTCCTACCCACCCTCGCCTCCCACTACTCATCCTCTAAGTATTCTTTCTGTATATCGAATACATGCCATTATTAGAAATCTGTTTATTTTTGGACATCTGCAACCCCTAAATGACTGTGACCTCTTTGAGTAAGCAGGTGCTGGTTCATTTTGTCTGTGTACTTAGAAATAAATTTAACTGAGGTAAAATAAATCTAGGATGAGAACTTTAAATCACTGAAGAAGAGAAAATGAAAGGAACAGGAAGACAGCCCATGTTCATAGACGGGAAGAATCAAGATCGTAAGAACTGTCTGTACCCATCTTACCAAAAGTGGCAGACAGAGTCCACGTGAGACCCCCAAAACACCAACAACACTCTTCAGAGAAATCGAAATTCACGTGGAATCACGGAACTCACATAGCCGAAGCAATGCTGGTGAGGAGTGGAGCTGCAGGCACCTCTCGCCGGACGCCTGTGTGCACAGCAGGGACAGCGTGGCCCTGGCCAGAACAGACACAGGCCACTGGGACAGACAGAGCCAGGAGGGGTTCTCACATACACAGCCAGGGCGCAGACAGAGACAGCCAACGACAGAGTCCTCCACCGGGCGGACGGTGCTCGGCGCCTGGCACCTGCGTAAGGACAGCGAAGCCACGCCGTATCCCTGACCACACACGAACTGTCGGACCGTTCAGAGACAGACGTAAAACCTGCCACAGAAACTGCCAGAAGAAAATGGCAGCACAAGGACACTGGTGTGACGCACACACAGAGCACAAGGCTGCGGACTGACCCACAGGGTCGTCAAACCGAAAACCTTCAAACAGCAGAGACAAGTACGGACACAGCGAGGAGGCACAACGGGAGCGGAGGTTGGAAACGTCCTCCAGCCGGGGCTAGTGGCCAGAATATACAGGGAAAGGAACAGTAGCAAGAGACAAAATTCGACCGAGAGACGGGAAAAATCGGCCAGTCCACGGCAAGGAGGCCGAAGCTGGGCCCGATGGTGTTTTATGTCCTGGACCAAGCAGCACGAATGTGTGCCCAAAGTCCCAGCAGGGGGAGAAATGGAAGAGGGACTGCAGTGTGACCATCCCCACGAGGGGCACTTTCTCACTGTTTCTCTCTCTGGCAAGCACATATGCCTGCTAGAAAAAAAAAAAAAAAACCACCTGGATAAAGGGCTCATAAAAGGAAACACACAGACCCCAGCGAACATGTGGGAAGTGCCCAGGTCGCTCATGGTCAGGGAAGGCAAACGAAACTCCACCGAGGTATCGCTCGCGCTGCTGAGCGTGCTGCCTGCAGGGCAGGTGGCGACACCGCGTGGTGCAGCAAGCACGGCCTCAACCTGGAGAGAAAGTGCCTGCGTTCGGGAGTTGTGCGAGGCAGTGCAGGGTCCTTCGGGAGCTGCCACGTGACCCAGAAATGCTGCATGGCATCGGGGTGAAGGGAGAGAGGCACGTCACACAGAGCACCCGCAGCACCCTCTGGAGAGACCTCGGGGGACTGTGTCACCTGCTGTCACACGGAGCACCCGCAGCACCCTCTGGAGAGACCTCGGGGGAGTGTGTCACCTGCTGTCACACGGAGCACCCGCAGCACCCTCTGGAGAGACCTCGGGGGAGTGTGTCACCTGCTGTCACGCTGGACTCCCACATAACCATGCGCAGTTTGAGTCTTACACCAGGTGGCTTAAAACTCACACCACACATATGCGCTTGTGTGCCCAAGATCCCAAGAGGAGAATGGAGGAGAAGGGATTGTGAGTGGCCATCACTCCTGGGTGGTGATTTCTCACTTTCTGTCTCTTTGTCTCTCTGTCTTTCTGGTGAGTGCACACCCCCTATAGAAAAAAAAGCCTCTAAAATAATATAAATAAATACATAAATAAATACTAGTGAACAGTTATGCTAATATCATTTTTATCAAAATAAGAACTGTCTCGAGACAAGTGAAAAAAATAATTTATTGCTGGTTCTTTTACACATTAACATGAAATATTTATACATACTAATATGAAGTACTAAATTTGAAGACAAAAATTTTTACAGAAAAGTAGTTGCACTCTATAAAGATAGATATTAATAAATTATTGGAGACTTTTAGACCAGCGGGCTAGTTATTCCAACGGGAATTCATCTTTGTCAGACTTACTGCTCCTGCTGCCAGAGAGCCTCACACCCTTCTGAGCTAAGAGGGGAGGCTCCTCACTGGCAGGGAAGGCCTGCAGCCCCGCAGCTCTGCCACACCCACTGCGAGCTCGAGCCCAGCATCTCACCCAGACTGGCTTTCCACGGCCGCCCTGGGCTCCCGACAGTCGGATACGATGGGATTGTCGCTACAGGGCCCCACAGTCGCAGTGTGTGCCGCGCGTTTTTGAAGGGGGGTTAGAGGGTGCAAAATAGTCACTGTTTTCTTGGCACATTGGTTCTTATGCTGGGAGTCTGAAAATAAACTGCATCTTTTTTCCTAAAACTAAGAATTCACTCCTTTAGAAAACGATCTTTATAATGATGTACAGCAACAAGGTATAAACTGTCTTACATGTCATCATTAAAATGCACACCACGTATCTACGGAGCACTAGGTAGACGGCCAAGGTCTGTCCACTTTCACGTCAATAAACCCCACAGGTATTTCCTGGGTATCTGCTCCTTGCAGGTCCCCGGGCCAGGAAACGCCTGCCGGAGATTCTAAGACACATGCAGCTCACAATACGCACATCAGAGCAAGTTTCGGATAATATACTAACGCCTTAAAATGACCGAGAGCAGAGCTAACGCTGGATACGGGTGGTGACGCATGCACCTAGCAGAGCCGGCCCGCGTCCAAGAGGAGGCGGCCCTCGGCACGGCGTGTCAGAGGGTAACAGGAACCCGATCTCCGTCCTCTTCATCTCCGATCCGAGAGTCAGTTATCATCCTGCTTCGTTTCCTCAAAGACAGAAGAAAGAGGGGAGTGACCTCGGCCAACCATTTAAAGTACGAACAACAGCTGGAAGATAAAGATGTGAAGACCTGGCATCCCACTCCCTGGCTGGCTGGAGTGTGAGGGCACCTCAGGGAATGCGCACGTGCCGGAGGAACACCAGGTGGCGCCGAAGCACGCGCATGCCCAGGGCCTGGGAGCTTCAGGCTGCTCCGAGGCAAGGTGTGGTGGGCAGGGAGAGCCCAGACCCCACCCAGAGCGCCCTGCCTGCGGGGACAGCAGTTCCAGCTTGGACACGCTGAAGGCCACTGGTTCTGGTGGCGACACCACAGGGCCGGCCAGAACCCTGAGTGACCCGAGGGCTGTCGGCCTCTGGAAATCAAACTCATTCATCCCCCGGGAGACGCTCCACCGGGAGCTGCCTGTCCCTGAAGAGGAGCTGAGGGCTGGGTTAGACTCCCACGGGCTTCAGCCCTGATGGCGACCTCAGAGCTGGCCTGGGAGCCGGACGGCTGGTGCAGCCTGCACAGACACCCAGCACCACGGCATTCGACCGGGATGCGGAGGCGGACCAGGAAAACGGGCCTCCCAGCCTCACCCTTCAGTTTTAATGTCACCAGAGGACAAAAGCGGACACCCAGAGGAGTGCTGTCCAGCGGCTCACACGCCAGCTGTGCCGAGCGCTGTCGGCCAGCACTCCATGTCACCCATGCTCATGCTACTTCAGTGACTGCCTCCATGCCTCCGCGCTCATGCCGGCCCGCCCAGCCCCACCTCTGCCCCCGCGGCCCTCCTGGACAGGAGCCACACTTGGGCTGGCTCGCCCCGCCCCACCTCTGCGCTCACGGCCCTCCTGGACTGGAACCACCTTGCGTCAGCTCGCCCCACCCTACCTCTGTGCCCACGGCCCTCCTGGACAGGAACCACACTTGCATGGGTTCCTTCTTTCCCTTCATGGACACGGGCCCTCTGTGCTCCAGGTGGAACTGCGGGTCTGCGTTCTCAGGCGTCATCAGACACCTGAAAGAAGAGGCGAGCAGGAAGGAGAGTGTGGAGGCCGAGGTGACAGGCACCGGGGACACACGGACCCAAGAACACCCAGGGAAGCCGCACTCAGGGTAACCCAGGGCTTCACAGGAGTTCATGGGTGGGGCGGAATCCTTTAACAGGGAAACGATGTGATCTCCTCAAAGAGCAATCCTAACTGGCTGTGGTGGGGCACGTGGAAGTGGAAACTGTCCCAAAGCGACGATTCCTGGCTGGCGTCTGCTCTCACCTGTACGTGTACTCAGACACGTTTATTCTCCCCTTCTCCCCCGTGGTCTCTGTCCTGCTGGTGAGGTTGACGGTGTTTCCGAAAAGGCAGTATCGGGGCATCCGCTGTCCTATCACCCCGGTGACGACCTCTCCGGTGTGGATCCCGATTGTTATCTGCACAAGACCGAGGCGTGCTGAGGAGAGGGCCTGCACACACAGCCTCGCTCACTGGACTCAGAGAGCGGGGACCATCGCACACACCCTTCCGAATTCTGTGGGGACCCAGAATGCGACGGCAACTTCAAAACCCTCGCACAACCCATCTCCCAAGAGAAGCACTGGAAGCCCAAAGATTCCAAAGATGTAACTCTGGCAGCTTACAGGAGACACAGGAAAGAGATTTTCAAAAACAAACTGGACAGGAGGACTCTGAGAGCATGGGACAGAGGAAGTCATTTCAAGTAGGAAGACAAACTTCCCATTGTGAGGAAACTGTCCCCGGGCTCCAGGAGAGCTGCAGCGGTCCAGCAGTCAGCCGGCTTCCTGCCACCGAACAAGACCAGACCTGGGCACACGGCCACCATGCTCGCGGCATGGCCTCCTACTGACCTGGACGGAGTCGCCATCCACCTGGACCTGGCCAGCAATCTCCATCATGTCCAGGGCCAGGTGGCAGATGGACCGGGCGTGGTGGACACAGGGCTCGGGCAAGCCGCTCACGGTCATGTACTTGTCACCGACTGTCTCCACCTGCACACGGGTCCTCGGTTAGCGCGAACAATACGGCCTCGCTTACCACCTACAGCTTTCAGCAGCTCTGAGCACCCCTCCCCAAGTTCTCTGAAATCCAAATCCGTTTAACTCCCATGCGGTCGCAGTTTCGATTCTGTGGAACTGGCGCACGCACATGGTCCTGCGTACAGGCGGCTCAGACCAGAAGCCCCTCTCGTGAGCACTTGTGTCCCACCAAGCCCCTCACGACTGGGCAGGGCCTGTTTCCTTACTCCCCTAAACAGCAGCAGCACAGGGCACAGGGCACAGGGCCTGCCTGCCCTTGGGCATCCATGGGGCAGTACCCAGTGTCCTTCTGACATGCGCCCCGCATGCCTCTGAGCCCCAGAGAGCCTAGAGCACGTAGCCCTCGAGTTGCAGTGACTGCACCCCCGCCTTTATGAAGCAACGCTCCCGGCTTCGCTCCACGCACATGCGTTCCTCAGTGAGGCAAGGGCAGAAGCCTTGAGCGCCTCCTCCCCTCAGCACTGGAAGCACACTGAGTCTCCAGGGCCTTCAGCAAAGACGGCTCCGCACGGTGCAAAGCACTTATGCCACAGGGGAACCACCCTCGCAGACCACCGGAGCAAGTGCCTGTCATGGCAGCCGTGACGACCCTGTGCCCATCGGTCTCCAATACACGTGGGCCCCGGAGCCTTCCGCTATGCCCAGCAGCCATGGCCTCGTGAAACCCCGGTCCAGTTACCGAGATGGCAGATTTCAGGACAGGAGGTGTTGTTCAGGAGACCAGTGGAGGCATCCCAGGCGGCCACAGAGCTGCGGTCCGGGACTACGGGGCCGCACCCCCACAGGGACAGAGGCCACCAGCACAGCACAGGACAGGCTCCACGAGGACTCACCTTATAAACGGACGGGTTTCTCCGCGAGTCCGTCAGGGTGTCGAACCTGGTGTAGAGGTCATTGAGCAGGCTCACGATCTTCATGGCCCCCTCCCCAGATGCGTGCTTGCTGCAGAAGGCGTTGAAGCCCACGATGCCACTGAAGAGGATGGTCACGTTGCCATAGCGCTTGGCAGGCACCGGGCGCTTGTGCCGCAGCTCGTTGGCGACCGACGGGGGCAGCACGGAGTACAGCAAGCTGTGGGGCGGGGTCGGTGAGCGGGATGCAGCCCTCCACCCTCCAACATCACCCCCACAGCAGGGAAACAGTGAGCTGAGACGCAGCCCTCCTCCTCCACTCTCACCCCCACAGCAGGGGAGCGGTGAGCCGGGACGCGGCCCTCCAACCCTCACCACCCCACAGCAGGTGCACCTCACTGCAAAGCCAGGCCCCACAACTAGCCCCCGACATCACCCTGCGGAGCCAGGGAAGAGTGTGAACTGCTCGCATCATACAGGTGGCCCCAGACCCGAGCCCCTTAAGGCTGAATCAAAATAAGCAGATAGACAGATGGACGAACAAAGGGCTGGCGACAGCCCAAGTTTTCGCCAGTGGCCTTGCGCTCCAAGCTGTGGATCACAGCACTTGTAGGTGGGGCTGCCCATCAGCACTCAGGTCACCAGAGGGGCACAGGCCTCCCTCGGCTCTCACACTTGCCTCGATTTTAGTACAGTAAAACTGAAAGAAGCAGGAATCCTCTATAAAAATCTATGCATAAGGACCAGCAGATGGTGTAATGGTTAGGTCACTGGACTACCATATGGCCAACTGCAGTTGGAGTCCCAGTCCCAGCAGCTTAAAACACACCAGGCACGTGTGCATGCATGCCCAAGTTCCCAAGAGGAGAATGGAGAATGGCTTGCAGTGTGGCCATCCCCCAGGGGGTGATTTCTCGCTTTCTCTCTCTCTATCTCACTCTCTCTCTTTGTCAAGCACACGTGTCCTATAACAAAGTCTCTAAAAAAAGCTATGCATGGATTTTAACATATTTTTGCACTAAAATACACCCATGCTGTCACTCCAATCCTCAGACCTTTCTGCAGTCCTCATGCAATGGCCATGTCTGCTTCACTGTCCAGAGCACCCCTCGACACCGGCCACCCAGAGGGACAGCACGTAGCTCTCAAAGGAACGAGTGAATGAGCGAGTGAGCGAGAAGTTGGACTGAAAACATATTTGAGTTAGTCTCATGCTTTCAGAAAGATGTTTTGACATTCCTTCAACGTGGCTTCTAAAAGTCCTCTGCCCCTGACTGCTTTCCTCACGCCAGTTTCTTTACAACAGCCAGGTGGGAGGTTGCGTGTGCTTTTCCAGGGCCACCTGGCCTCACCCCGCCTGCCACACCCTGAGCCCGCACCGCGCCCAGTGAGCAGACCCTTACGTGTCTGTCTTCTTCTTTTCATCCTCCAGGGCCCTCAGCGTGAGCTGCAGCCGGTCGGTCAGGATCTCCAGCTCCTGGGTCAGCTTGTACTCCTCCCGGAACTGCTCCCCCAGCAGGACGAGGTCGCGCGTGGCATCGTGCAGGGGGATGTCACTCAGGTACAGCCCGCGCCGGGTCAGGTCGTCCAGGTTCATCACACTGGCGGGCAGAGAGGCAGAGGCCACAGCATCACCGGCCCTGAGTCCCGCCAACGCCAGTGACCTGCCCCCTATTCGAAAGGTCGCGAGGAAGACAGTGAGACCAGAGAGCAGGGAGGGGAGGGCACGGCTGCCTTGACATGAGAACATGGAGGCAGTGGCCGCGGGGCGCGCTGTGTCCGAGCAGCACTCCTGGGAACCGTCAGCCTGAACCGAAAGGGAGTTTAGAACACGCTCCGTGAGAGCTGTCCCCCACCCTCCCTGCCCTGCTCCTCACTGTAAGGCCACTGTCCCCTCTTCCTGATTATCCCGGACCAGGAGTAATGACACATCTTTCCAGCAACTACATGATTTTAGCCTGTGGAACTCTGCAAACCTTGGAACTGTTTCCCTTTTGGAAACGATAATTAAGTTTACAACCAGATTAATGACCGGCCTTCAACACGTATTCTATGTACTTAAGATGTATTCTATGTACTAGGATTTACTGGCATGCACTCTCCATGTTATTCTTACTCTGGCTCGCCTTTCTTCTTCTGGTTTTATTTTCTTTGACCATTTTTTTCTCCTTTATTTGAAGTATTATCTGATCTTGCTAAGTTTTATGCATCTTTGTAACAAGTCATTTTGAGAACAACACAATTATATTTGTTGATTCAGTAAAGGTCTGGTAGGTGAGAGGCCGACTACCGTTTTAAAATTTACTCTTTGGTTAACATATCTTAAGTCCACATTACTGCTTTGAATTAGGTGCACTAGCCAGGGAGAGCCGGAGAGGGAGAGGGAGACAGCACCCACGGGGTGATCGCGCTGCAGTCCCCTCCCCAGGACTGGGCACACACCGGCACTTCCAAGCTGCCAGGACTGGGATTTGGATCACGGGCACCCAGGGGGGATCTGGCTCCTTAACCACAGGCCATGGGGCCAGCTCTGGGTTGAATTTTTAAAATGCAAAGTAAATACTTCTACTCAGTCAGAATAACAATTT